GGTATATCAGCCGTGCTCACGGTCACGAGCGGCCTTGGAACTCTTACGGAATAGATGATTATGAATGGATAATTAATTGTTTATGCTATTCATTACTCATGTTTAACTGAACATGTGTTTATATAGGCTTATAATAAATTTGATGCTACTCAATTGCTTAAAATTATGACTCACTAAAAGCTAATCGATGTAAACCCGTGTCGACCTTTTGAGCCACATGAACCCCATGTTATATTTGTTGAGTACGGCATGTACTTACGCTTGCTTTATTTTTACTACTTGGATAAAAAATCCCGGATAGGTACCAGATTGTTAGAGATTGGAGGAGTTAAGCTTGTGATCAACCAGTCAGTTGTCTCTGTGGAGTGGAGTCTTCACCTAAAGATCGGAGTTATCTTTCCGCTATCTGTTGTCTAAGGTTATACCTTTTATACTAAATATATTATATATTGAGCATTGTTATTTGATATTACCCTTATTTGATATTACCCTTATTTGTGGCTATATGTGAGATTTGACTTTCCTGGGCTCACATATGGTGCGTATCTGGTTTTGTTCGTAAAATCGGGTGCTACAATCCATATTTACATTTACAATACCAAATAAATGTTCTATTCCATGGTAGATCTAATTTGATCATGTTGTACGCATTAACGAATATTTATGAAAAACCTTGTTAAAGCTTTAGAATTTTGACTTGAAGAAAAATTTTTGGAACAAATGGAGTCGGTTTCTTGCCCCACATTTTTTGTGTGCTAAGCAGGTGTTTTGTATTTCAATTGGTGCCCCTCTTTTTTGTCCTTACCTTTAGGCTATTCTCATTCTCATTCATATGACAATGCTAGAGATCGGAATATTTTCATATGCCTTAATCTAAAATATATGTCCTTAGCTTGCAAAGAAAATTTGGCCATGTCTTATGGTTTGCCTATCTTATGGTTTGCTCTCATGAAAAATCCACCCAAATACTATTTCTTGCCTATCTTATGGTTTGCTCTCACTTTTGTGTGTCCCACGAGCTAAAATAGACTAATATACCTTTGAATCAAGTATCACTACAGTAAACAATGCACTGATAATTTTTTTTGGGACACTGTTTGATCCGCCTGTATACTTTATTTTATTTATAAAGCCATCACAGCCCGTGGATAGCAGTTTTCAGAAAAAAAAACTGTAACTTTTGCCATGAAAAACTATGTACAACTTATTTATTCTCCTTTAGTATATTTTAGTAAAAATATGTAAATATGGTAATTAGTGTCTGCTTGATGCCAGATGAAAAATCTACAATGGAGTCTATTTTGGAAGACAGACGACGACTGTATCCGCACATGTCAGGCATGACCGGATTATCTTGTCAGTTGGAGCTGGCAAGATACATTATGCTGAGTGCCCATGCACTTGAGTCTATGACCCTTAGGCTTACAAATCGAGATCGTGCTTACTTCAAGTTGACTGATGCTACAAACCACGGCGAATTTGCAAAGAAATATCTGGATCCGCAAGCGGTGTATCGTGAAGTTTTGAAAATTCATTTCAACGATGTTTTGTTGCAATGAGCAGTATGCATGGTCTATTTGTAATTAGGGGAAGTACTGTGCATAATAAGAATATTGCCACATGATTGTTTGGTTGATGGTTTGTAAAGGTTTAAATTAGGCTCAGGTCCACGATCCCCCCAATCGTCTTCCTCCGTGAGGCGACTCGGGGCAACCGACTACCCACCGAAAACCCTACTCCGCCACCGGCTGCTCCCTGACCGTCGCCGCCGCTCTCCGGTGAGTGGCGGAGGCGGACGCGGTGGTGCTCCAAAAGGGCAGTCGTCTGCACCTCACTTCTCCTCCCCTCGCTCCTCTCTCTCCACTCATCCAACTTCGACGCGGTCGCCATCTCTAACGCTGGTGAGGTCGTTGCCGGCCACCAATGGCCAGATTAGGCAGGCCTTCCCTCGATCTACTCTTCTCGGCACCGGTCCTGGGCCTACGAAAGAGACGGGACGGCCGGTTTCCGGCCAGCGCTTGCAGCTACGGCGGAGTCCAGTCCGGGGCAGTGGCGGGTTGGGGGTGGCCCGGTGCTGCGCCACTGCAGGGCTGGCAAGCTGTGCTCGGCTATTGTTGCCTGGTAGCCTCTACCAAATCCCGCGGCAGCGCTGTGTCCGCCGGGAACCTGCGTGCGTCCTGGTAGGTTGGTCCTAGGCGAAAGCCTCGCTGTCTGGCCGACAATGGCGATGCCCTTTGGGCGCTCCTCCTTGGAGGCATCTGTCATTGCACCTTCCTTTCCTCATGATGCATATCTTCCTTTCTGTACATATTAAACATTATAGACCTAAATCCAAAACTTTGTAATTCAAAACTTTGCACTCCAAATCTAGAAAGTTTGAACTATCATATTATAAACTTTGTACTCTAAGATTCAAATCTTTGTAATTTTAAAATTTGCACTTTAAAGTTCCGGAACATACTAGCACGTTTCAAACATTGTACATACAAGATCCAAAATTTTGCATTGCACTCAGAATTTAGGAACCTTCTACTAGAGTAATCAGCCCATCGTAAACTTCTACTAGCATGTTATTAACTTCACTTTGTACACCTAGTTCCGAAACTTTGTAATTCAAAACTTTATACTAGTGCATTTCAATCTTTGTACTGCTATCCAACTCTAATTAAGTGAACGGCACCGGTTATTTCGATGTACCTTATTACCAAAGCCCAAATATAAAAAGCGTAGTTATTGTTATGTTCCAAATATTTATCCCTAGTTAAATTTTCTGAAAGAAAGTAAGCAATATCATTTCTTTTTTTAAGCAATACCATTTCATTTATTTATTAATAATACTATAGATGGTCATTTCACTTTGTTTTCATAGAAAAAGTACTTTCTTGTTTGTGCGTGTTGTGTGGTGCAGATAAACATTGCTGAACGGAGAGGTACGTGCTGTTTATCCGTTTATTATCACCGCTAACAGAGGGTGCAAACAGGACGAAATCTCGCGTGGCTCGACTTCACCCTGGGGTCAGGTCATCTGTACCGTCCGCTGCTAATCCAACCGTATCTCTGCCATTTTTTTTTCAAATGACATACAGGCGGCGCACAAACTCAACTCAAGGGTCAAGGCCCATCGTAGCCCATGTCCTGCCGAGAGGTTGCCACGGTGAAATCGCCGCCGCCGTCTTCCGCTCCGCAGACCGGAGTCCCGAGCGCCACGCCGTCGCCATCCCCTCACCGAGAGCCGCAGCCTGACTGACGCTCTTGTTTTGAAAAATCTGGTGTTGGCGTCTCCTTCAACCAGTGCGCGAAGCTTCCCCCGTTGCTTCCATTCAGCAGCCCGGTCGCTGATGAACAGAGCCAGCTGCTGTTGGCACTGCAGGCTATCACCGCTAATAAAGTATAATAATCTGTGTTGGCATCGATCATACCACACACAGCTACCCAAACGGCTACTTTGATCATAGCTTGGCGCATTTTCGCAAGCTTTATAGTACACTTTTTTTTGTGATGAGCATATGCATGCGCTGTTTGCACGCAAATTATTTGCTCTCTCCTCAAGTGCGCATCTTGTTGTGGTTAGATTACTCCCAAAAAAAAAAGTGCTGATTTTACCAGCTTTCTGGAAAGCTAGCACAACTTGTTACTATCCTATTCCCTCGAAAATAAGAATTCTGAGGACTTTACCCTTAAAGTCCAAAAGTGGTTACCAATACTGAGCATACAAAAAAAGCCTACTGCCATACGCTGCATTTCCCATTAATTTATTTTCTGCATGTAACCAAGTAATAGTATACGCCGCATTAGTGAACTAAAGAACGCGACCACTCCACATGCTTTCGCCTCTCCTTGGTTGCTTCATCGCCTCTCGCCTGATCTAGCAGGATGATTCGGTGCTTATCAGGAGCAGCATCTACTCAAGTTTGAAGTCGCACGGGTTATTAGTTGTAGCCTTCTTCTCTCGGATGCTTCCCTATTGTTTTCCAGGATCTATCCCAGGATCCCCTTTGCCATGATCGACGATGCGGTCAGGCCTACTCTTGTCTCACGGAATTCATCGACTAGCTAGCGAGCATCATCTTTTGAAGCCTGATGAAGTTCTTTTCCAGGTTAGTTGTAATCTTGTCCTCCGGGGATCCTGTCCTATATATGTGTGTTCCAGCAGCCTGCTTCTAGTTAAAAACGCTTTTATCTTAGAGAAACACTCTTCATGCTTTTGGATGTCAATGCTCTCTATATTTCTGTCCTGCCGAGATCCAAAAGTCACCACCTTTCTTAGCTTTCTAGATCAAACCACTAAATTATTCCGTGGATACAAACTTATATTTCAGATTCACGCTCGAGTCGAGTACTCCCTGGGTCTGAGAATGATAATCATATTTTATACAGGAAAAAGTTAAGTTTTACAAATTTTGACCAACAATTAATCAAATTATATACAAGTTTATATAGGACATAAAACTTGCACAAATAGAAGTGTTTCTAAGATGATATTGATTCATTAGCAAATGAAAACATATCGTAAAAGAAATTAAAGGTCAAAACTATTTGTATAACCATTTCCTGATCAAAATAGGATTACCATTACAAAACGGAGGAAGTACTAAACTTGCAAAGTTTATTAAGGATTATTCCTCGGTACTCACTGCACTGAGAAGTTCATTCAATACCACATAAGTTCACACTAGGTTGTAAAGCATAGGAAAGCCAAAGGTGGTGACTTGAAAAGAAAAGTGATGCAACTCCTAGCCTATACACTCTTCACCTAAATTATTTCTCAGGGGTGAATGCAATACAACATTTAACAATTTGGCTATTTGGGTATCAACACGCTCACGCTATTTATTTTGTCTTCTGTTGCACAGTATTGTTGTTTGGCACAAACCTTTCGTTCACATGTAAACAACCACCCTACTTGTTGAAGCACCGTATCTACTTTGTGGAAGACAAACAGATGTTTCCTATTATGTGAAACTGTTTGTGTCGTCAGAGAATTTTTTTTTATAAAAAGAATGGATGATTGTAAGTGTAGCAGTGATGATACGCTGGAGCGCATATTACAAGATCCCAATTCAATGCCAAGAGTTATGCAATTAGAATATTTGAAGAGGATCACAGATAATTTCTCTGATGAGCGATTACTCGGTGAAGGTGGGTTTGGTAAGGTTTATAAGGTAAGATTAAATCATAATATCTTTCCCTCCTCACATATCTATGTAATCAGCCTTATTTTTATTTATTTAGAAATCCGTATCCACGCATGTTAATGTTAGGGTGTAAACAGGGAGAGCTTCAAAATGGGAAAATGATTGCCGTGAAGAAGTTTAAACAGTTAACAAATCCAGATATTCAGCAGAAGCTGTTTGAGAATGAGGTGCTTCCTCTTATGCGTCTCAGGAACCCCAATATAGTACGATGTGTAGGATATTGTTCAGAAAAAAGCAGCGTAGTTGTCAAGCACAATGGAATTTTTGTTCTTGCGGAATCGCACGAGATGTTACTTTGCTTGGAGTATCTGACAATGGGCAGCCTTGATAAACATCTTAAAGGTACGGCAATATGGTCTCTCCTCTTTTTTCAACTATTGGGATTTCAAATTTTGCTTTCTGTGAGCATCTCCACTACAGCAATACCACATTTTATAAACAAATACCATTAACTATTGAGAGAGAAAAAACAAGATTTGAGCAAAAACTAGGTGCCTTTAGATTAAGATAAATGTAGGAACTCAAATTTGCCAAGACAAGAATTAGCATTTGGATTGTTGAAAAGGGGTCTTTGGATGGCTAGAGGGGGGTTTAATATCCTAATTAAAAATTTAAACAAAGAACAACACTTAGGCAACAAGGTTAATACAAAAGGAGGCCCTAATAAGCACTACTTCTAGATAGTTTTGAAAGCCTAGGGTGAAAGCCTACATAAGTCTAGTGAGTAAGCTAGCTAAGCTTATTCTCTACTCTAGGAAAGTAATTGTTCAAATGAAACAAGACTAGAGGAAGGCAAACCACAAGAGAGACAGATTTATCCCCGTGGTTTGGTTACTTGTTGGCAACCTACGTCCATGTTGAGGCAACTCCTAGGATCGCCGCTTCTCTATCAAGTCTCAACCCCGCATGGTTGCCTCTTCTACCGAGGGCTTGATCTCTAGGCCTGACTCGATCACAAGGCACTCTTCAAGCCTCTATTCCACTAGAGTTGCTATTTGCCTCACCAATAGGGAATGAGCACAAGAGCTCCTCACAAATCCTCCTCCGGAGCGCCACACAATCTTCAATTTGTGTGCTCGATGGAGTCATGCTGCTCCAAGCCGTCTAGGTGATAGCAATCACCAAGAGTTACAAGCTAGCCCTCAGCAAATTCGATCCCTAGTGCCACTCAAGCAATCTCTCAAAGCCTAAGAACTAGAATCACTCCAATCTCGTGAGTGGAGAGGTTAATCCTAGCTCTAGATGTGTGCTATATGATCACAAGGTGCCAAGAGGTCTAAAATGACCAGCCAACACAATTATACATAGCCCCCACACAAATAGAGCTGTTGCTACTTCTCACTGAGTTGAAAACGCACTCTTCAGATGATCTGGTGGATGCACCGGACAAGTCAAAAGAAGATTCTCCAACAATAACTATCCGAAAGTCAACACATGCGTTAGATACTCCAGTGAGTCATCCGGTGCAGCATCCGACGATCTGGTGCCTTAAATCTGCCTCACCTGCGTGGTTAGATGCCTCTGTAAGAAGCTCCAATGTATAGTCCGGTGGTAGCATTGGACAATCTGATGCCCTTACCTCCAACTCACCTGAGAAACACCTGTCTCTGTAAGGTCTAGTGGACCCATCCGGTGACTCCACCCAACGATCCGGTGACGCCCTTTGAACTTTCCTGCTCGCTCAGCCAACATACAGTGCAAAGAGTGCACCAGATGCTCCGGTGCTCAGTGCAGGCCTCTACCGGCAATGATATACCACCGTTGGGCTATGGCTCAACCCGACAGCAGCCGCACTATATCATTGCCGATTCGTGATCAACCCAACAATGTCCTAGCTACAGTATAAAACCACAGCCCCTTCTTTCTCCTCCCTCCCATCCCGAACACACCCATCCAAGGAGGGATCTTTTCCCATCTCCAAATGCTCATGGACATGATCTCCTTGGTTTTAGGTGGGTATGAAACTCTCAAACTATCACTGCCAGGTGGAGTCTTGATCCAGCAGTGACCCTCATCCTGTTATTGTCAGGTTGAGGCACTAACCGACAGCAATAAGTACCTATCGCTGCCGGTTTGCGACCTGGTGGTGATACCCTCATCCATCACTACCGATTACTATCCTCTCACTAGTACAGAAATGGGCTTTACTCCCGGTTGGGAAACCCCTTTAGTCCCGGTTTCCCAACTGGGAGCACGAATTCGGGACTAAAGGGCCCCTCCTTTAGTCCCGGTTTCTCGCCCGGGACTAAAGGTTCACCTTTAGTCCCGGTTGGTAAGACCAACTGGGACTAAAGAGGCCTCCTGGCCTGGCCACATGGGGCGGACCTTTAGTCCCGGTTGGTACCAACCGGGACTAAAGGTTTCTTTTTTTTTCTTTTTTTTTGTTTCTATTTTTAATTGATGATTCGTTTTGGTTTTCGAATAAGTTTTCGAATACACATTCTACGCTGCTAATAATATACGTATTCTACACGTTTATAATGTTCGAACATTTTGTACAAACTAAAGTATGAAACTAACGTATATATTACATGCATATACATATATTGTACGTTATTTTATGTACATATAATATGTATATATATATATATATATTACAAATAAAGCTTGCACTGTATATTCTATCATATCATTGGGATAACAAATTCACTCCATCTGGTTTGGCTTCCATGTTTCGTTGACGTCATTGTAGAACTCGCCGGCGGGGTTGAGGACCTGGTCATTAAAAAATCCTGCTATGGTCTCTTGAATTGCTTTCAGTTGGTCACGTCATATGACTTTTTGGGACACTCCTTCCTGACTCGGTACTCCATCACAATCTTCTCCTCACACTTGCCGCATGCAATGAGAGAGATCCGGTCTCAGTCGCTTTGTAACCCGATGAGAGACCGAGGACCCGGAAGCAGTTGCCATCTACTCTCTATACTCATTTTTAATATAATATAAATTTCTCATTTTATAAACAAATAAAATTAAAAAAACTCTAAAATTCTCTATATCTCTAAAGCATGAAGTGTGCTATGCATGCTAGAAATGAAAGCTCAATACTAGTTTTCAATAACTACTTTAACCTTCCTTCATCCAAATATGCAAACTTTAAAGTGATTTTGAGCTTAAATGGCTTACAAATAAAAAAAATCTATCATAAAAAAAACCACATATATCTAGTCCACAAAATGAAATAAGCTACTGATGAAACATGAGAGTATAAAGTTGGTAACCTTTAGAACCGAAGAATCGATGGAGGAATGGAAGAAATCTTGTGATCACCGGTGATGAGGAAGAAGAGAGGCCGGCGATGAAGTAAGAACACTGAGCTCGAAGTGGCTCAGGCTCGGGGAGGAACAAGAGGTATATAGAAGGGGACCTTTAGTCCCGGTTGTAGACAGAAACCGGTACTAAAGGTCCATTTCTAGTCCCGGACGGAGCCTCCAGTAAAAGTGAACCGGGAGTAAAAGTGAACCTTTAGTCCCGGTTGTTAGCTCCAACCGAGACTAAAGGTCCCCTTCAGCAAAAGCCTGGCGTAGTAGCTGTTGGGCAGGGACCTTTAGTTCCGGTTGGAGCTACCAACCGGGACTAAAGGTTTCTCTAGTCCCGGACGCGAAAAATACCGGGACTACAGCCAAATTTCGAAGTGGATCAAAGGTCGTTTCTCTACTAGTGTCTACCAACTCCGCTTCCGACAGTGATCCATGGATCTGGGGTAGTGTGTAGTTATTTTGGTGGTTTGAGGATTGGAAATTTTGATGTGGTGCATCCAACTTATGTGGAATTGGACCATTTCACATTGGCCAAATTTGCTAGGCACCATTTGTGGTGTCAAACAGTCACATCTCTCCATTGCAAGATTTCCCAAAAAAAAGGAAATGAGATTTATGAGTTGTTGTTTAATTGCAGATGAATCTTCTGGACTTGATTGGCGCACATGCAACAAAATAATTAAGGGGGTTTGCTGCAGTTTACATTACCTTCATGAGGAATGTAGACCTCAAAATAATAATGCTTTAATTATTCACTTGGACCTAAAACCTTCTAACATATTGCTCGATGAAAATATGGTGCCAAAAGTTGCAGATTTTGGTCTGTCAAAACTCCTTTATGATAAGAAAACTCAAATTTGCCCCGTTGAAGGAACATTGTAAGTTACTAATCTATCGATACTATATTACTTACAAAAAAAATTTCTTTCAAGTTTGCTTTAGCTTAACCCTTTAAAGTTGATGAAACACTCATGCTGTGATGCAGTGGTTACATGGCACCAGAATACGTAAATGAAGGTAAAATATCAACTAAGGCAGACATCTACAGTTTAGGTGTAGTAATAATAGAGATCATAACAGGTTGCAAAGCTGATCCTGATGTCGAACAAGTAAGAAACTGTTCTTTTGCACATTCAATGTATCTGACGGTCCATTTGAATTATCTTTTTTGTTTTACCACTGCATAGTATCAAACTTTTGTTAATATTTTCCAGATAATTAACAAATGGGGAAACAGGTCGGCAGAAGCACTATCATCCGTAGATTGCCAACAGATAAGAAGTTGTCTTGAAATAGGTAAATGCTGCATGAAAAGCGAACGAAATGAAAGGCCAACTACGGGGGAAATTATGAAGAAGCTTGGTTTGGAAAGCATAGAATGCAGTCTCGACAGCGAGGAAGGGCCCCTTTGCAAAAAAACAAAAACAAGTTGCCACACGCCTCTTGAAAACCAGGTATTATGACTCCAGAGAATCAATTAATTTGCTTGACGCCACTGACACTCCCAATGTTGGGTGGCCGTAGCTATTTCCAAAAGTAGATAGACAAGGCAAGAAAAACATTATAAGAATACATTCTCTACATGCTAACATATAATGGGGCCACTGACTATCCCCTGATGCATATTTTTTGTTTCTTGTCTAGTATAATTTGAGCCTAATTTTTTATTGCACAAGGTACTAGCTCTTTTGGTTTCCTTATAAAATTCTTGCCACATTAGCTTTCATCCTATGTGGACGTGCACTAACATCCACAGTAGCCTAGCAGTTTATATATTTTATATAGAAGAGTGTGTAGTAGAGCATTGGCTACTGGGTGGAACATACTTATTTTTTTCTCTATAATCTGTATTAATTATTACTGCCTTCCAGGAAGAAGAAATTATTATGAAGATTAAGGAGCACGTGGAGAAGTTGCGTGAGAAGAGCAGAGAAGTCCGTGACAAGATTGAGCTTGCCAAGGGAAATGGCATGGTAGCAACAAACAAGATCGAAACCTGGCTGGCTCGAGCAGATACCATCCTATCTGACGCGATGGCTGTCTGTGACTCCAAGCAATCTGGGTTAAACTGGGATACTAGAATTGCCGCTGCGCAACTTTCTCAGCTCCGAGAATGTCTCAGTGATCAACCCAGTGATATTGCACAGCCGCCATCTGCCCTTCATATTGATGTCCATGCTGCTCTACTGCCAAGTCAGGTGCTTTTTGTTGAACAAGCTCGCCAGCACATCATTGAGGATACAGAGGGGATGATCGGAATATGGGGTCCAGTTGGTGTTGGGAAAACACTCCTTCTCAAGGCGATCAACAATTCATTTGAAACAGGAAACTCCTTGATTCCTAGTTCATCAAACAGAAGGGACCCTCCATTTGACTTTGTTATCTATATGACGGCCTTAGAAGACTGTTCGGTGCAAAGTATCCAATCTGAAATTATTCAACGGCTCAAAATGCAGGACCGCGGTGATTCATTAACCACTCAAGCCACCAGGATATCTAAATTCCTTCATGATAAAAGTTTTCTTGTTTTGCTAGATGGCCTTCACTACAATCTGAACCTAGCAGAAGTTGGCCTACCACCCCTTGGAAATCAAGGCCAATGGAAGCGAAAAGTTGTAATCACAACAAGATCACGAAGCTTGTGTGATCAGATGCGTGTGAACAGAACTATAAATGTCCCCGGCCTAAAAATTGATGAAGCACTTGAGCTGTTCCAAGAATGTATTGGTAATGATAGTCTTTATTCTGAACCCCGCATCGGAGCACTTGCAAAAGATCTCGTGGAGCAACTAAGAGCTCTACCATCAGAACTGATAAGAATAGGCAGCGCAATGCGCGGAAAAGGGGAACCAGGACAGTGGCAGAATATCATTGGTGTTGCCAAGGAATTGATGCATATCAAGGATCAAGAAGCATCATTGCTGGTATGTCTTTATAGTTAACTCAAATTTGGTAACAACATTTTTGCTAACTTATATTTGTCACTAGTTACTAATATTAATTAATGCCTTCCAGACAGAAAGAATTGTTATTACAAAGCTTAAGCAATGTTTGCAAAACTTGCGTGGGAGGAGAAATGATGTCAATCACGAGATTGAGCTTGGAAAGCGAGAGGGCAAGGTAGCAACAAATCAGATCAACAACTGGATGGCTAGCGTGGATACCAACATCTCTGTTGGGATGGTTATCTGTGAATCTGAGCAAAATGAGTTAAACTGGGATCTCAGTGTGATTGCAGCTGGCATGCTTCGTCGGCTCCAAGAATGTCTCGGTGGTCAACCCAGCGTTGTTACAGTGGAAGCATTGCCACCTTCCGTCCAAGAGATGCCATGTTCATCCATAGAGCAGCAGCCTTCCAGAGTTGAAATATTTGAAGAGGCTATGGAGTATATTAAGGATAGTTCAGTGGGTGTCATTGGAATCTGGGGGTTGGGCGGAGCGGGCAAGACCCATCTTCTGACAAACATCAACAATGCTTTTCGTGGGGACTCATTATTTCGTTATGTTATCTTCGTTACGGCCTCCAAAGAGGGTTCAGTGGAAACAATCCAAGACGAGATTGGCAAGAAGCTCAAGTTACCGGAAGGCGATGATGTTAAATCTCGAGCTGACATAATTTTGGACTTCCTGAAAACAAGAAAATTTCTGATACTATTAGATGACGTTTGGAATCGGATTGATCTGGAAGCAGTGGGCATACCGTATCCCCTTGGAGGAAGCAAAGTGGTTCTCACAACAAGATCAAAAACGGTGTGTGGTCAAATGGACGTAAAAAAAGAGATCAATGTGGCATGCTTGCCAGATGACGAGGCCTGGCAGCTATTTCAAGACAAGGTCGGACAGGGGACTCTATCTTCTAGTCCTCGTATTGAAGTTCTTGCAAAGGAACTTGTGGACGAACTGAAGGGCTTGCCATTAGCTTTGATAACTGTCGGAAGGGCAATGTACGGCAAAAGTAATCCGAAACAATGGGAATCTGCCATTCATTACATGAAACAGTCATGCTGTGACGGGGATGATCAGGACCTCCATATGGAAAATGATGTTTTCAGACGACTCAAGTTCAGTTATGATAGCCTAAGAAATGAAACCTTGAGACAGTGTTTGTTGACTTGCTCACTATGGCCAGAGGATAAAGAGATTTTGATAGGGAACCTGATACAATGCTGGATTGGCTTAGGTCTAGTTGACGAGTGTGATATACATAGTTCCTACAGAAAAGCACATTCTCTAATAGGGGAACTTACAGCTGCATGTTTGTTATACAGTTGTGATACTGTGTATAGTGATGATTACATTCTTAATAGGGGAATTTACACTTTTGCCCATCAGGAAATGCCAGTTAAAGGTGTTAAGATGCATGATGTGATCCGTGATATGGCTATTTGGATATCTTGTGGCTGCAGTGACAACAAGGACAAGTGGGTAGTTCGTGCAGGAGTTGCTGCAAATCTGACTATACGCGCCATTCCTTGGAGCAGAGCCGAATGCATCTCATTAATGTACAGTGAAATCGAGGAGCTTCATCCTGTTCCTCCGTTTACTTGCTCCACAAATCTCAAGAGGCTGTACCTTAAAAATAATCGTTTGGATGAGAGGATATTTGGTGCCATTCAGAGTTTCACTGAGCTGACATACCTAGATCTAAGCGGGAACAACATCAAGGAGATAGCTGAAGAGTTATTTGCCTTGGTAAACTTGGAGCATCTGGATTTGTCACGTAACAGATACCTATGGGCAGTTCCCAAACGCCTTAGAGAACTTACTAAGCTTAAATTCTTATATCTAGCAGGCACAAGCATAAAGGTGATTCCGACGGAGGTCATATCCTGTCTTACAGAATTGCAAGTGATTGACATAATCTCTACTAATGACAGAATGAGAATGAGAATGACAATTGATTATAAGTCTAAAATAATGCAAGAGTTGTGCACCCTTCCAAACTTGAAAGCGGTTGATATGGTCGCTGAAGGTGATGATGGATATGAATCACTACGGAAGGCAGCTGGCATCCCCATTAGGGATTTGATCATATACAGATTGGAAGAAACAAACAAGCTCTGCCTGGCAGTAGATACTTTGACAGGTGATATTGCGGGAAGGACGTTAAATGAATTGCACGTTGTGTTGAACCTCACAATGGAGCAAATAATAGTAGGAGACGAACTGGGAAAACCATTTGATGCTCTCAGTGTGCTCGTGTTCCAACAGTTGTTTAACCTTACAAATATAGTAATGTGGGAGGGAACATCGTCTTTGCAAGCTTTGTTCCCAAGGCTCACTCATTTGTATGTGGATTTCTGCTTCAAACTACAACATCTCTCTTGGGCGCCGTACTTGCCTTGCCTTGAATATCTTCGTGTGGGTGGTTGCATGGATATGAAGCAGATCTGTATGGGCGCAGGACAAGAGAGTTCAAAGACATTCCCTTGCCTCAAATATTTGATTTTATCTAATAATCACAAGTTGGCCAGCTTGTGCGGTTCTGACGTGACGTTCCCATGCCTTGAGTCGTTGAATATTCAACTATGCTTTCAGTTGAAGCGGCTTCCCTTCACAATGCAAAGCTTACCACACAAGTTGACTAAACTATGCATCGATTCTTGGTATGATTTGGAATGGGAGGATGAAGGTGTCAAGTCTTTCCTGGAACCTTTATCTAAAAAAAAAAGTCTTCCCTGGAACGGGTTCGTCGATGAATGATGCTAGGAATACTAATAAATTGGAATGGGAGGATTAATGGTACGTTCGTTCGGGTTCGACTCGCACCATTGTCGCTTTTGTCTTCTTTTCCCTCCCTCATTATTATTATTATTATTACATGTATGTATGCCTACCTAACTTCGTAAGTATTGTGCACGCATGCAGGAGCGTATTTGTCTGTGACTACTGAGCAGTGAGACAGGCATCGGGGAAAACACGGCGTTATTATTTTGCTACCTTTATACTGCTGTTCTACTTTTTTTATTATGATGATGTTTTCTCGTAATAATGCGGTGACGTGTGACAACTAAATTATATATTGTTTCGTCCGAAAGAAAAACATAGCGAACGGATCACTACAAGGTGCCGTAACTATCCTGAACGGTTACCTTCTCAGTTTCTCTCTCCTAATAATCGCAAGACACACTCTGGACCTGTTTTTGATCTCACGGCCAATTATTCTAATATGTGGATTATGTATAGGATTAATTAAATACTATATATAATCGTGATTATGGATTATAATAATTGAGTGTTTATTGGTTCCCTTGATTATTGTGGCTGATTATGGTAGCTTAAAGTGAGAAAATCCTATCTTATATATATCTTTTGGTTTGGTATAAGTTGGAGAATTGGTTGGGGGACAAGCTAGTTGCACTTGTAGCACCTATAATCCCCCTAAATCATGTCTCATCAGAATTATAGGATTATGGAAATAAGGGGTTAGATATGGTCAAATACAATCTGTAATTATTTCAAATCTGATTTAATATCGAAAAAATATTCAAAATCGTGGCATTTTAACAATATTAAGCACATATAAAAACATGATAACAATCATCTCATGGAGAAACATGTCCATATCACATCGCAAAGTCTCCCATGCACCATGTCCCTATCACATTTCAGATACACTGGATTCACACCACAATTCAGATTCACCGATTCGCCAAAAGAAATAAAAAAATCTCCACAGCAGGGGCAAGCCAAAATACCCAACCCACCGCAGGGCAGCAGGGACCAGGGACCAGAGCCACCACACGCGGCTGCTGCCTGACGCCTGATGCCCTCACCAGCCGCACACGGCGCACGTGGGCCAGCGGCCAGGCGCAGGTGCACAGGGCAACCAGCCATCCGCTGCAGGGCGCCCGACGCGGCACCACGCCGCAGCAGGCCGCCGGCCTTCGGGATTTGGGAGGACGAGGACCGGAGGAGAGCCGTCGCCTGCTGCAGCCCGCATGCCGGCCACCGCGCGTCCGCGCCCGAGCGACCGAGCCGCGGCAGCTTCCGAGCGCCGCACGCCGGAAGCCCCCGCACCGCGCGTCACGTGGCGAGCCTCGCCGCCGCCTCGCGCGCGTGCGCTGCCAACGCCGCCGCCGCCGGATGCGCCCTGACGCCCTGTTCGATGCATCCAGCCCGTGAGAAAGACACGTTTTCCTTATGGTTGGACGGGGCAAGAGGCTAAATATAAGGATAAGGGGTAATTTAGTCTTTTCGCTTTTGTTTTTCCCAAATTTGAATATTTTTAATTTATTTATTCCATGACCATCTGACGGCATCCAAATTAGGGGCAAACAGATGATTCATTTCAAAATAACAAGGGCAAAATCACAAAGTTAAAAAACCAGGACTGCCGAATAAGGGCAATAACACAATTATCCCTATAATCAATTATGTTTGGATCATAATCTGATTATTATGATCTTATTATTATAAGAGTATTGCTCTGGTGGACCTCAACTGAAATTTTTACGTATCTTAAAGCAACCTATAATGTTAATTAAATCCTCATAACTACTCACTTTTTTTTTTTACAACAAACAACTTTATTTCAACAGCAAGCAGCTGTTAGGAGCCTTACAGAGTTCAAGGCTACAGATTGCAGTGCATCCTGAAGCGAGCACTGAATTACATGAGCTGCGTTAGAGCAGGTGCAAGCCAAGTTAATTTGAAGGAGGCTGAGAATCTATGAGTGCTTGCCTAGCCGTCTGATTCTGGGATCTTTGGATCCTGAGAATACTTGCGTCTCTTTGGCTTGTGAAGTTTGTGAAAGTCTGAGTGAAGTGTTTGATCCTCCAGTCCGGTGGATTTGCTTGATCCAAGCCATTTAGGAACTGCACTAACAGCTGATTGTCTGAGAGGAAGATGATTCGGTGCATACTGAGGCAGTCAGTGACAAATGCAGCAAGTGCCATTGCCGCAGCCTCAGCCATAAGCACTGATGTAGTTGCTGTCATCATCGCCTTGATGTAGATGGTTTGCACTGGATTAACCTGGGTATTGATGATGAACAGACCAATCCCTGCATTTCTAGGTGGAGTAGAGGGGAGGTCAGGAGATGTTGATGCGTCGGTGTAGCACCTAAGTCCTAACGCCTTGCGGTAGACCTGGGGACAAGTCCTAACGCCTTGCAGTAGACCTGGGGACCGAACCAGGGCCTCGTTCACTTTGCAAAAAAATGAACCCGATGAATAGTACCACTTTCGTCTTATTTGACAAATATTATCCAATCGTGGACCAACTAGGCTCAAAAGATTCATCTCGTGATTTCCAACTAAACTGTGTAATTAGTTATTTTTTTTACCTACATTTAATACTCTATACAAACGGCTAAAAATTGATGTGATGGAGAGAGAGTGAAAAAACTTGGAATTTGGATGGCATCTAAACCAGGCCTCCGAGGGATTCCTGCATCTGTACATCTGGTTCACTGGTGTAGTAGTAGCTCCTGCAGTGAAGATTGTCATACCTGACGGCAGAGTGTCCGTAATGCTGGCACTGGTTTGACCTGCATGGAAAGGAGATGTACTTTGCATTTCAGGGTTGATGCATGGAATTTGCGCCGACACCTGGATGGTGTGCCTGTGCGCCTTAATGTTGGTGTGTTCAGCCTGGTTCCTGCCTCGCTCTGTATTTGTCATTACCGTTTGATGTTGTGTAGTGTCTGCATCTGTAGCTTGCCTGTTCCTGTCCGTCGGAGGTGAAGGTGCTGGGTCTGTGCTTCGCAGTTGAGTTTGGAGGTGGATATTGATGTGTGCCGCGACCGCGTGATGTACCTACCAAGGAGTCCAGGACTTTCTCTGGAATCTAGTGTCGTTCCTGGCCTTCCACAAATACCACATAGTGATTAGAATTTTATTGAATAAAACATTAGAGGTAGAGCTGGAGATAAGAGCCTGAAGGATCAGTTGCACTCCATCATCCTCATGAGGAAGGTTGTTGGTGCGTAGAGGGGGATCAGTGGAGAACCAAACCGCCCGGGGTAGATGACAGTGAAAGAATAGATGGGCGTCGTCCTCCACTGCACCACAAGCTGCACAATGTTTGTCAATGTGAATGCTATACCTTGATGCTCTTTCAGCAGTGGCAAGTGCTCTTCTGATGAGCCTCCATGTGAACGCTTTGATTAGGGGTGGTAATTCCTTACTTTTCCATGCTCTCTGCAAAATATTTTTAGCTTGGTGGTTAATACTTGTGGATCCCTGTTGTGGCAGCTGAACAAGCTGCTGTCTGCTTAGGTGCCTGTAAACACTTTTAGTAGTACATTGACCATCTTTGGCAGGTGTCCACCTCAGGATGTCATGTTGATCATTGGGTACAATCTGAACCTCAGTGATCGTCTGCACAGCCTGGTCATCAAAGATGTTAGCTATAAGATGTACATTCCAGGATTGGGAGTTGGGGTGCCAAAGATCAGAGACAGTATCAGGCAAAGGTCGTTGGGTAACCGGCAATAGCATATGGTCATGTATGGGGTTCCATAAAGGGCACCAAGGAGTGGACCAAATAGAACTGTTACCTGAATGGATTTGAAGGACAGAGTTGCTGCAAAGGTCCTTTTTTACCTGCAAGATAGATGACCAGAAGATTGACCGGGGTCCAGTGGTGTTGGTGTTCCAGAAGGTGGTGTTGTGGTAGTATTTGGCTTTGAGCACTGAGGTAAGGAGAGGGTTTTTATTAGTGGCTATGTTCCAAGCAGCATGGGTGAGAAGGCTTCTGTTGACAGTGTAGAGATCCCTAATTCCAAGACCCTCATTATCCATCGGCTGGCAGATGTCTTCCCATGATCTGAAGGCTATAGGTGAGGTAGGGTTGTCTTCCTGGATGCCAGCCCACCAAAATCTTCTGATAATGGCATTGATCTTACTTACAAAAGTCTTAGAAAAGCACAGTAGACATGTAGTACACCGGGATCGAAGTCAGAACAGATTTGATGTAAGTAAGCCTTCCTGCATGGTTAAGCTTGTTGGCTTTGACAGTAGTTAGTTTAGCTCTGAATTTGTTAAGAATGAACTCGTAAGCTTTGTTCCTATCACGCTGTGACTGAAAATAATTGGGTGTCCAAGGTGCATAGTGTTAGGAAGGAGGTCAGGGACGGGGAAAACGTCCCTGATTTGGGATATGGTAGAGCTCGGCACATTTCTACTGAAGAGGATAGAAGATTTCTGGAGGTTAGGAATTTGACCAGAAAGGGTGCAGAAATCTTGCAAAACTGTGCGAATGTTGGTAGCCTCAACAACCGAGGCAGTCCCACAAAGGATGAGATCATCGGCAAAAAGAAGGGAGTGAATAGGGGGGCAGCCAGGACCAAGAGTGATTCCTGAGAGGTTGGAGCTAAGCAGATGACTCTGGAACCAAATAGAGAGTTCGTTAATGGCGACGACAAAAAGATAGGGCGAAAGGGGACAGCCTTGGCTGATACCTCTTTGAGAAGAGAAAGGAGGAGAAGGCTCACCATTCACCAGGATAGAGAAAGTGGGGGTAGAGATGCAAGATCGAATGAGGCGAATGCAGTTGGAGTGGAGCCCAAGGCGAGTGAGAGCAGAGGCAATGAAATCCCAGTGCAACCGATCAAAGGCTTTAGCAAGATCAAGTTTGAGGAGGAAAGCTTGCTGGTTCCAAGTCTTGAGGGAAAAGGAGTGAACAAATTCCTAGATGATAACAATGTTGGACGAAATGTGCATGTTCTTAATAAAAGCAGCCTAGGATTGGTCAATGTGGGTAGGGTGGTGGGGCTTTAACCTATCAGCCAAGGATTTAGCAATAACTTTATAAATAACATTCATAACTACCCACGTTGAGTCCTCCGGCCCATGCGCACCAAAACATTCTGGACCTGATCTGCTGCCGTTTCGCCTGTTCTTTCGCACATGCTGAGCGATGGCGGTAGCGCCATTTCGTCCAACCGGCGGCAGGTGCGGTGGCATTGCAGACAGAGCGGGCGAGCAGCGCCAAGCAGCACATCGCAGCGTCGAACCCGGCCGGCCACCGCGTGCGGCGCACTCGCACCTTGCTGCGGTCCGGTGCTGCCTAGTTGTGTGCCGTGCCGACGCGCCGTGACTGCTCCGTCTGCACCACAACAGCGCTTGCAGGTGGTTGGATCTTTCAGCTAATAGACTCAGCTAAACTTTAGCTGAGTTTGGCTGGGCTGAAATAGCTAACTCAGCTAAACTTTAGCTGCTATTTTAGCTGTGTCGTTGGGATCCCTAGTAGCTAAATTTAGCCGGCTAAAGTTTATTTGGTGGATCCAAACATGTTCTTAATCAGGTGAGGTAGGGCTGGCCTGTTGGTAGAGGGGGAAGCTGAGGCGATAGCAGATATTGTGGTCATGGAGAGGTTCACGTGCGTGGCGATGTGGCCGGCCAAATGTGAAACTTTCAACTATCATATTATAAACTTTGTAATTTAAAATTTTGCACTTTAAAACATAGGAACTTCGTACTAGCTCGTTTCAAACATAGTACTACAGGATAGAAAATTTTGTGTTGTACTCAGAACATAGGACCGTTCTACTAGAGTACTAAGCATATCGTGAACTTCTACTAGTACGCTATTAACTTTGCACACCTAGTTCCATTACCTTGTAATTCAAAACTTTATACTAGTGCATTTCAAACTTTGTACTCAAAAAATCAACCAGCCAGGCCATGCTCGTGCACCATGTGTGTCGTGCTAGCGAACTAAGCGTATTCGCAAAAAATATTTGCCATGCAAAATAAAGATTTTTAATCCAATTTGCTGAACAGAGTGTTTATCTGTTTATTATCACCGCTAGTAAACATCGCTGAACAGAGTGCGCAAACAGGATGGAATCAGATCCTCTGCAGTCGCGTGGCTCGGCTCTGATCCAACGATATCTCTGCCAAATGACACACAGTGACACAGGCCGCATAAACTCAAGGTCCATCATAGCCCAGGTCCTGCCGAAGTGCCGAGAGGTTCCCACGATGAAATCTCTGCTGCCGTCTTCAGCTCTGCAGACCGGAGTCCGAGCGCCGCGCTGTCGCCATCCCCTCGTCGAGAGCCGCAGCCTGACTGACGCTCTTGTTTGGAAAAATCTGGTGTTGGCGTCTCCTTCAACCAGTGCACGAAACATCCCCGTTGCTTCCATTAGTCCGTTCCGCTCGCTGATGAACAGAGCCAGCTGCTGTTGGCACTGCAGGCTATCACCGCTAAAAAACATCCCTGAACAGAGTGCGCGCACAGGACAGGGACAGAGTAATAAAGTATAATAAAGGTTGATGATTGATCAACATATAATAATCTGTGTTGGCTACTTTGATCATAGCGTGGCGCATTTTCGCAAGCTTTATAGTACACCCTTGGGCCACAGAGTGGAGTGGGAATCTCTTGCTTTTTTTTGTGATTAGCAAATGCATGCGCTATTTGCACGCAAATTATTTGCTCTCTCTCGTCTAAAGTGCTGATTTTACCAGCTTTCTGGAAAGCTAGCACAACCTGTTACTGTCCTATTCCCACGAAAATAAGAATTCTGAGGACTTTGTACCCTTAAAGTCCAAAAGTGGTTACCAATACCGAGCATACAAAAAAAGCCTACTGCCATACGCTGCATTTCCTCGAAAATAGTATACGCCGCATTAGTGAACTGAAGAACGCGAGCACTCCACATGCTTTCGCCTCTCCTTGGTTGCTTCATCGCCTCTCGCCTGATCTAGCAGGATGATTCGGTGCTTATCAGGAGCAGCAGCTACTGAAGTTTGAAGTCGTACGGGTTATTAGTTGTAGCCTTCTTCTCTCGGATGCTTCCCTATTGTTTCCCAGGGTCTATCGCAGGATCCCCTTTGCCATGATCGATGCGGTCAGGCCTACTCCTGTCTCAGGTAATTCATCGACTGGCTAGCGACCATAGTTTCATGAAGCCTGATGAAGTTCTTCTCCAGGTTAGTTGTAATCTTGTCCTCCAGGGATCCTGTCCTATATATGTGTGTTCCAGCAGCCTGCTTCTAGTTAAGAACGCTTTTTACCTTGGAGCAACACTTCATGCTTTTGGATTTCAATGCTCTCTATATTTCTGTCCTGCCGAGATCCAAAAGTCACCACCTTTCTTAGCTTTCTAGATCAAACCACTAAATTATTCCGTGGATACAAACTTATATTTCGAGTACTCCCTGCGTCTGAGAATGATAATCATATTTTATACAGGAAAAAAGTTAAGTTTTACAAATTTTGACCAACAATTAATCAAATTATATACAAGTTTATATAGGACATAAAACTTGAACCATAGATTTTTTTTGAAGTGTTTCAAATATGAAATTGATTCGTTAGCAATGGAAAACAAATTGTAAAAGAAATCGAAGGTCAAATCTGTGTATGACTTTTTCCAAATCAAAATAGGATTACCATTTCCGAACGGAGGAAGTACTAAACTTGCATAGTTTATTAAAGATTAGTCCTTGGTACTCACTGAACTGCGAAGTTCATTCAATACAACATAAGTTCACACTAGGTTGTAAAGCATAGGCAAGCCAAATGTGGTGACTTGAAAAGAAAAGCGATGCATCTCCTAGCCTATACACTCTTCACCTAAATTATTTCTCAGGGGCTGAATGCATGCAAATACAACATTTGGCAATTTGGCTATTTTTGGGTATCAATATGCTCACACTATTTATTTTGTCTTCTGTTGTACAGTATTGTTGTTTGGCACAAATATTTCATTCACATATAAACAACCATCCTACTTGTTGAAGCACTATATCTACTTTGTGGAAGACAAGCAGATGTTTCCTATTATGTGAAACTGTTTGAGTCATAAGAGATTTTTTATAAAAGAATGGATGATTATAAGTGTAGCAATGATGATATGCTGGAGCGCATATTACAAGATCCCGATTCAATGCCAAGAGTTATGCAATTAGAATATTTGAAGAGGATCACAGATAATTTCTCTGATGAGCGATTACTCGGTGAAGGTGGGTTTGGTAAGGTTTATAAGGTAAGATCAAATCATAATATCTTTCCCTCCTCACATATTTATGTAATCAGCCTTATTTTTATTTATCTAGAAATCCGTATCCATGCATGTTAATATTAGAGTGTAAACAGGGAAAGCTTCAAAATGGCAAAATGATTGCCGTGAAGAAGTTTTACTTTAAACAGTTAACAAATCCAGATGTTCAAGAGAAGCTGTTTATGAATGAGGTGTTTCCACTTATGAGTCTCAGGCACCCCAATATAGTACGATGTGTAGGATATTGTTCCGAAAAAAGCAGCGAAATTGTAAAGCACAATGGAATTTTTGTTCTTGCGGAATCGCAGCCGGAGATGTTACTTTGCTTGGAGTATTTGACAATGGGCAGCCTCGATAAACATCTTAAAGGTATGGCAATAGTGTCTCTTCTTGTTTCAACTATTGGGATTTCATTTATGTGGTTTGTGAGCATCTCCACTACAGCAATACCACATTTTATCAACAAATATCATTAACTATTGAGAGAAAAAAAAATTTGAGCAAAAACTAGGTGCCTTTAGATTAAGAAAGCCAAGCGACGCTAGACCAGCTGGTTAAGCGGTTCCGGCTGTACCCCTCAGGTCCTGAGTTCGAACTCCCGTGGGAGCGAATTTCAGGCCGAGGGTAAAAAAATCCCCTCGCCCGCCCCATACCAAAGCATAAGTAAAGAGATTGACGTCTCCCTGTGTATGGATGGGGCGAGGGTTTGGGAATTTTCTCGGTCTGTGTGAGAAGACATTCTTCTTAAGCACAATACCCGTTGGATACTCCAATGAGTCATCCAGTGTAACACCCGATGATCTGGTGCCATAAATCGTTGCCTCTATAAGAAGCTCCAATGCATAGTCCGGTGGTAGCATTGGATGATCTGGTGCCCTTACCTCAACTCACCGGAGAAACACCTGTATCTGTAAGAAGGTCTGGTGGACCAATCCGGTGACTTCACCAGACGATCCGGTGACGCCCTTTGAACTTACCCGCTCGCTTAGCCCACATACAGTGCACAGGAGTGCACCAGATGCTCTAGTGCTCAACGCAAGCCTCTACCGGCAATGATATGCCACCGTTGGGCCGTGGCTCAACCCGGCAGCAGCCCCACTATATCATTGTTGATTTGTGATAAACCCGGTAATGTCCAAGCTACAGTATATACCACAGCCCCATCTTTCTCCTCCCTCCCATCCTGAACACACCCATCCAAGGAGGGATCTTTTCCCATCTCCAAATGCTCATGGACATGATCCCCTTGGTTTAAGGTGGGTACGAAACTCACAAACTATCACTGCCAGGTGGAGTCCAGCAGTGACCCTCATCCTGTCACTGTCAGGTTGAGGCACTAACCGGCAGCAATAAGTACCTATCACTACCGGTTTGCGACACGGCTGTGATACTGTCATCCCATCACTACCGACTACTACCCTCTGGCACCTCAGTGATCCATGGATCTGGGGCATGTGTAGCTGTTTTGGTGGTTTGAGGATTGGGAAATTTTGATGTGGTGCATCCAATTTATGTGGAATTGACCATTCCACATCATAAGTGGCCAAATTTGCTAGGCACCATTTTCGGTGTCAAACAGTCATATCTCTCCATTGTAAAATTTCCCAAAGAAAAAAAAGGAAATGAGATTTATGAGTTGTTGTTTAATTGCAGATGATTGTTTTGGACTTGATTGGCGCACATGCTACAAAATAATTAAGGGGGTTTGTTGTGGTTTACATTACCTTCATGAGGAATGTAGACCTGAAAATAATAATGCTTTCATCATTCACTTGGACCTAAAACCTGCTAACATATTGCTCGATGAAAATATGGTGCCAAAACTTGCAGATTTTGGTCTGTCGAAACTCTTTTGTGATAAGAAAACTCAAACTTGCCCTGGTGGAGGAACACCGTAAGTTACTAATCTATTGATACTATATTGCTTACAAAATCTTTTTTTTCTTTCTACCTTGCTTTAGCTTAACCCTTTAAAGTTGATGAAACACTCATGTTGTGATGCAGTGGTTACATGGCACCAGAATACATAGGTAAAGGTAAAATATCAACTAAGGCAGACATATACAGTTTGGGTGTAGTGATCATAGAGATCATAACAGGTTGCAAAGTCGATCCTGATATCGATCTTGACATCGAACAAGTAAGAAACTGTTCTTTTGCACATTCAATGTATCTGACGGTCCATTTTAATTATCTTTTTTGTTTTACCACTGCATAGTATCAAACTTTTGTTAATATTTTCTAGATAATTAACAAATGGAGAAACAGGTCAGCAGAAGCACTATCATCCGTAGATTGCCAACAGATAAGAAGTTGTCTTGAAATAGGTAAATGCTGCATGAAAAGCGAACGAAATGAAAGGCCAACTACGGGGGAAATTATCACGAAGCTTAGTTTGGAAAGCATAGACTGCAGTCTCGACAGCGAAGAAGGGCCCCTTTGCCAAAAAACAAAAAGAAGTTGCCACACGCCTCCTGAAAACCAGGTATTATGACTTCAGAGAATCAATTAATTTGCTTGACGCCACTGACACTCCCAATGTTGGGTGGCCGTAGCTATTTCCAAAAGTAGATAGACAAGGCAAGAAAAACATTATAAGAATACATTCTCTACATGCATATTTTTTGTTTCTTGTCTAGTATAATTTGAGCCTAATTTTTTATTGCACAAGGTACTAGCTCTTTTGGTTTCCTTATAAAATTCTTGCCACATTAGCTTTCATCCTATGTGGACGTGCACTAACATCTATAAGACATATATAATAAGGCAAAGTGGAGCACTAGGAGTAGCCTAGCAGTTTATATTTTATATATAAGAGTATGTAGTAGAGCACTGGGTGGAACATACTTATTTTTTTCTCTATAATCTATATTAATTATTACTGCCTTCCAGGAAGAGGAAATTATTATGAAGATTAAGGAGCACATGGAGAAGTTGCGTGAGAAGAGCAGAGAAGTCCGTGACAAGATTGAGCTTGCCAAGGGAAATGGCATGGTAGCAACAAACAAGATCGAAACTTTGGCTGGCTAGAGCGGATACCATCCTATCTCGACGGGATGGGCTGTCATCGTGAGTCCAAGCAAACTGGGTTAAACTGGGATACTAGAATTGCCCTGCACAGCTTTCTCAGCTGCGAGAATGTCTCGATGATCAACCCGGTGATATTGCACAACCGACATCTGTCCTTCATATTGATGTCCACGCTGCTCTCATCGCCAAGTCAGGTGCTTTTTGTTGAACAAGCTCGCCAAAGACATCATTGAGGATACAGAGGGATGATCGGAATATGGGGTCCAGTTGGTGTTGGGAAAACACTCCTTCTCAAGGCGATCAACAATTCATTTGAAATAGGAAACTCCTTGATTCCTAGTTCATCAAACAGAAGGGACCCTCCATTTGACTTCGTTATCTACATGACAGCCTTAGAAGACTGTTCGGTGCAAAGTATCCAATCTGAAATTATTACACGGCTCCAAATGCAGGACCACGGTGATTCAATAACCACTCAAGCCACCAGGATATCTAAATTCCTCCAGGATAAAAGTTTTCTTGTTTTGCTAGATGGCCTTCACTGCAATTTGAACCTAGCAGCAGTTGGCCTACCACCTCTTGGAAATCAAGGCCAATTGAAGCGAAAAGTTGTAATCACAACAAGATCACGAAGCTTGTGTGATCAGATGCTTGTGAACAGAGCTATAAATGTCCCCGGCCTGAAAATGAATGAAGCACTTCAGCTGTTCCAAGAATGTATTGGTAACAATAGTCTTTATTCTGAACCCTGCATCGGAACACTTGCAAAAGATCTCGTGGAGCAACTAAGAGCTCTACCATCAGAACTGATAAGAATAGGCAGCGCAATGCGTGGAAAACGGGAACCAGGACAGTGGCAGAATATCGTTGCTATTGCCAAGGAATTGATGCATATCAAGGATCAAGAAGCATCATCGCTGGTATGTCTTTACAGTTAACTCAAATTTGGAAACAACATTTTTGCTGACTTATCTTTGTCACTAGTTACTAATATTAATTAATGCCTTCCAGACTGAAGGAATTGTTATTACAAAGCTTAAGCAATGTTTGCAAAACTTGCGTGGGAGGAGAAATGATGTCAATCACGAGATTGAGTTTGGAAAGCGAGAGGGCAAGGTAGCAACAAATCAGATTAACAACTGGCTGGCTAGCGTGGATACCAACATCTCTGTTGGGATGGTTATCTGTGAATCTGAGCAAAATGAGTTGAACTGGGATCTCAGTGTGATTGCAGCTGGCATGCTTCGTCGGCTCCAAGAATGTCTCAGTGGTCAACCCAGCGTTGTTACAGTGGAAGCATTGCCACCTTCCGTCCAAGAGATTCCATGTTCGTCCACAGAGCAGCAGCCTTCCAGAGATAAAATATTTGGAGAGGCTATGGAGTATATTAAGCATAGTTCAGTGGGTGTCATTGGAATCTGGGGACTGGGCGGAGTGGGCAAGACCCATCTTCTGACAAACATCAACAATGCTTTTCATGGGGACTCATTATTTCATTATGTTATCTTCGTTACGGCCTCCAAAGAGGGTTCAGTGGAAAAAATCCAAGACGAAATTGGCAAGAAGCTCAAGCTCAAGTTTCCAGAAGGCGGTGATGTTAAATCTCGAGCTAACATCATTTTGGACTTCCTGAAAACAAGAAAATTTCTGATACTATTAGATGACGTTTGGAATCGAATTGATCTGGAAGCAGTGGGCATACCGTATCCCCTTGGAAGAAGCAAAGTGGTTCTCACAACAAGATCAAAAACGGTGTGTGGTCAAATGGACGTAAGAAAAGAGATCAACATTGCACGTTTGCCAGATGATGAGGCCTGGCAGCTATTTCAAGACAAGGTCGGACAGGGGACTCTATCTTCCCGTCCTCGTATTGAAGCTCTTGCAAAGGAACTTGTGGAGGAAATGAAGGGCTTGCCATTAGCTTTGATAACTGTCGGAAGGGCAATGTACGGCAAAAGTAATCCGAAACAATGGGAATCTGCCATTCTTTACATGAAACAGTCATGCTGTGACGGGGATGATCAGGACCTCCATATGGAAAATGATGTTTTCAGACGACTGAAGTTCAGTTATGATGGCCTAAGAAATAATACCTTGAGACAGTGTTTGTTGACTTGCTCACTATGGCCAGAGGATAAAGTGATTCGGACGGGGGACCTGATACGATGCTGGATTGGCTTAGGTCTAGTTGACGAGTGTGATATACATGGTTCCTACAGAAAAGCACATTCTCTAATAGGTGAACTTACAGCTGCATGTTTGTTAGACATTTGTCATACTGGGCTCCATATTGGTGGATACATTTATCGTAGAGAAACCTTCACCCATCAGGAATTGCCAATTGAAGTTGGTGTTAAGATGCATGATGTGATCCGTGATATGGCTATTTGGATATCTTGTGGCTGCAGTGACAACAAGGACAAGTGGGTCGTTCGTGCAAGAGTTGGTGCAAATCTGTCTATACGCACCATTCCTTGGACAAGAGCCGAATGCATCTCATTAATGTACAGTAAAATCGAGAAGCTTCATCCTGTTCTTCCGTTTACTTGCTCCACAACTCTCAAGAGGCTGTACCTTCAACAGAATCACTTGGATGAGAGGATATTTGGAGCCATTCAGAGTTTCACTGAGCTGACATACCTAGATCTAAGCGACAACAGAATCAAGGAGATACCTGAAGAGTTATTTGCCTTGGTAAACTTGGAGCATCTGGATTTATCATTTAACAGAGCCCTAAGGACAGTTCCCAAACGCCTTAGAGAACTTACTAAGCTTAAATTCTTATATCTAGCAGGCACAAGCATAAAGGTGATTCCGACGGAGGTCATATCCTGTCTTACAGAATTGCAAGTGATTGACATAATAATTATGTCAATTGATTATAAGTCTAAAATAATGCAAGAGTTGTGCACCCTTCCAAACTTGAAAGCGGTTGATATTGCCATTGAAGGTGACGATGGATATGAATCTCTACGGAAGGTAGCTGCTGGCATCCCCATTAGGGATTTGGTCATAGCCAGATTGAGATTGGAAGAAACAAACAAGCTCTACCTGGCAGTAGATACTTTGACAGGTGATATTGCGGGAAGGACGTTAAATGAACTTCATGTTCGGTATTGCGATATGGAGCAAATAATACTAGGAGACGAACTGGGAAAACCATTTGATGCTCTCAGTGTGCTGGCGCTCAATCGTTTGGATAACCTTACAAATATAATAATGTGGGAGGGAACATCGTCTTCGCAAGCTTTGTTCCCAAGGCTCACTCATTTGTACGTGTATTCCTGCAGAAAACTACAGCATCTCTCTTGGGCGCCGTACTTGCCTTGCCTTGAATATCTTCGTGTGGGTGGTTGCCTGGATATGAAGCAGATCTGTATTGGCGCAGGACAACAGAGTTCAAAGACATTCCCTTGCCTCAAATATTTGATTTTATCTAATAATCGGCGGTTGGCCAGCTTGTGCGGTTCTGACGTGACGTTCCCATGCCTTGAGGAGTTGCTTATTTCACGATGCCCAAAGTTGAAGCGGCTTCCCTTCACAATGCAAAGCTTACCAGACATGTTGACTAAACTATACATCCATCCTTGGGATAAATTGGAATGGGAGGATGAAGCTGTCAAGTCTTTCTTGGAACGGGTTCGTGTGGTGGATTAATGGTACGTTCAATTCGTGCAGGTTTGTCTCGCACCATTGTCGCTTTTGTCTTCTTTTTTCCCTCGTTATTACATGGCTACCATGTACCTATACCTAATAACTGAGTATTTGTGAAGGCATGCAGGAGCACATTTTTTTGTGACAACTGAGCATTGTGAGACAAGGCATCGGTGAAAACACGGCGTTATTATATTGCTACCTTTATTTTTGCTGATGACCTCCAAAGGAATCAGGAGTACCGGGCCATTTATTTGGGAGTCACAAATCCTAACTGCTGTTCCACATTTTTTATGATGTTTTTCTCGTAATAATGCGGTGACGTGTGACAACTATATATTATTATATATTGTTTTGTTAGAAAGAACATAGCGAACAGATCACTACAAGGTGCTGTAAGTATCCTGAACGGTTACCTTTTTTTCTCCTAATAATCGCAAGACACACTAGATCTGTTTGGGTCACAGCCAGATTCTTATAATCTGGATTATGTATAGGATTATTACTATAATTGTTATTATGGATTATAATAATCCGAGTGTTTGGCTCCTTTTGATTATTGTGGCGGGGTATGGTTGATTAAAGTGAGAAAACTCTATCTTATCTTTTGGTGTTTTGATAAGTTGGAGTGTTGGACAATTGGTTGGAGGACAAGTTGCATTTTTAGGACCTACAATCCCCCTAAATCATGTCTCATCTGAATTATAGTATTACAAAAACAAGAGGCTTTGATTATAATAATCCATAATATAATCAATCATGTTTGGATCATAATCTATCATTATGATCTGATTAACTTATATAATCAGAGGACATCGAAACAGGGCCTCTGTTGATTCATGTTGGTGCTCCATTAGACACACATGTGCGCTGTGTCGTATTACACTAAGCATTTGTGATGTGCTATGACTCTATATTAGCCCACCAATCCGTGCATGCATGGGCACGGGCCAATAAGTTAGAAAACACTCTATTTTAAATTATAAATCGTTTTGATTTTTACATTATATCTAGACATAAGATATATCTTGATGTATAGTAAGAACTATGTACCTCCAAAAGGCAATATGACGAACAATTTAGAACATATGAAGTATTTGTATCGCGAGCTTATACCAAATCAAGTGCATCTTCGTTAAGCTATAGCCTATAGGATCTCACATGGTAGAAACTATATTTGCAATTTAAATACAAATTGGTTTTATTAAGTTATTTGAACCATACTTTTTCTATGATAAATATTACACGAGCAACAAGACAAAGGCATGTCAGCCTGTTCATTTGCTCGTATACGATCGTGGATTATAAGCTGGAAAAATATTTTTCTCTCACACCAAACCAACCAGCAGTAAATAATCCACGATCGTTTACGGCCTGCCGAACATGCAGATAGATAATCCAGGCAGCGTGCCTGCTGACTTTGGGATGCAAGCACAAGCAGGCGTGGGCTAGCCTACTATCCTACTAGGACCGCCCGTGAAAATAATTCTAGCGGCCCGGCCCATGCACAACTTATCTGTGGGCCTAAATAGGCTTGCCTGCAAAGCCTGCTAGTCTTAAGCAGAGAACCTGCATCACCTGGTGCATCCGGCCGCTGGAATCGGATTGATCTGGAAGCAGTGGGCATACCGTATCCCCTTGGAAGAAGCAAAGTGGTTCTCACAACAAGATCAAAAACGGTGTGTGGTCAAATGGACGTAAGAAAAGAGATCAACGTGGCATGCTTGCCAGATGATGAGGCCTGGCAGCTATTTCAAGACAAGGTCGGACAGGGGACTCTATCTTCCAGTCCTCGTATTGAAGCTCTTGCAAAGGAACTTGTGGAGGAAATGAAGGGCTTGCCATTAGCTTTGATAACTGTCGGAAGGGCAATGTACGGCAAAAGTAATCCGAAACAATGGGAATCTGCCATTCATTACATGAATCAGTCATGCTGTGACGGGGATGATCAGGACCTCCATATGGAAAATGATGTTTTCAGACGACTCAAGTTCAGTTATGATAGCCTAAGAAATGAAACCTTGAGACAGTGTTTGTTGACTTGCTCACTATGGCCAGAGGATAAACAGATTTTGATGGGGGACCTGATACAATGCTGGATTGGCTTAGGTCTAGTTGACGAGTGTGATATACATAGTTCCTACAGAAAAGCACATTCTCTAATAGGGGAACTTACAGCTGCATGTTTGTTAGACAGTTGTGATACTGTGTATAGTGATGATTACATTCTTAATAGGGGAACTTACACTTTTGCCCATCAGGAAATGCCAGTTAAAGGCGTTAAGATGCATGATGTGATCCGTGATATGGCTATTTGGATATCTTGTGGCTGCAGTGACAACAAGGACAAGTGGGTAGTTCGTGCAGGAGTTGCTGCAAATCTGACTATACGCGCCATTCCTTGGAGCAGAGCCGAATGCATCTCATTAATGTACAGTGAAATCGAGAAGCTTCATCCTGTTCCTCCGTTTACTTGCTCCACAAATCTCAAGAGGCTGTACCTTAAAAATAATCGTTTGGATGAGAGGATATTTGGAGCCATTCAGAGTTTCACTGAGCTGACATACCTAGATCTAAGCGGGAACAACATCAAGGAGATAGCTGAAGAGTTATTTGCCTTGGTAAACTTGGAGCATCTGGATTTGTCACGTAACAGATACCTATGGGCAGTTCCCAAACGCCTTAGAGAACTTACTAAGCTTAAATTCTTATATCTAGCAGGCACAAGCATAAAGGTGATTCCGACGGAGGTCATATCCTGTCTTACAGAATTGCAAGTGATTGACATAATCTCTACTAATGACAGAATGAGAATGAGAATGACAATTGATTATAAGTCTAAAATAATGCAAGAGTTGTGCACCCTTCCAAACTTGAAAGCGGTTGATATGGTCGCTGAAGGTGATGATGGATATGAATCACTACGGAAGGCAGCTGGCATCCCCATTAGGGATTTGATCATATACAGATTGGAAGAAACAAACAAGCTCTGCCTGGCAGTAGATACTTTGACAGGTGATATTGCGGGAAGGACGTTAAATGAATTGCACGTTGTGTTGAACCTCACAATGGAGCAAATAATAGTAGGAGACGAACTGGGAAAACCATTTGATGCTCTCAGTGTGCTCGTGTTCCAACAGTTGTTTAACCTTACAAATATAGTAATGTGGGAGGGAACATCGTCTTTGCAAGCTTTGTTCCCAAGGCTCACTCATTTGTATGTGGATTTCTGCTTCAAACTACAACATCTCTCTTGGGCGCCGTACTTGCCTTGCCTTGAATATCTTCGTGTGGGTGGTTGCATGGATATGAAGCAGATCTGTATGGGCGCAGGACAGGAGAGTTCAAAGACATTCCCTTGCCTCAAATATTTGATTTTATCTAATAATCACAAGTTGGCCAGCTTGTGCGGTTCTGACGTGACGTTCCCATGCCTTGAGTCGTTGAATATTCAACTATGCTTTCAGTTGAAGCGGCTTCCCTTCACAATGCAAAGCTTACCACACAAGTTGACTAAACTATGCATCGATCGTTGGGATAAATTGGAATGGGAGGATGAAGGTGTCAAGTCTTTCCTGGAACGGGTTCGTCGATGAATGATGCTAGGAATACTAATAAATTGGAATGGGAGGATTAATGGTACGTTCGTGCGGGTTTGACTCGCACCATTGTCGCTTTTGTCTTCTTTTCCCTCCCTACATGTATGTATGCCTGCCTAACTTCGTAAGTATTGTGCACGCATGCAATAGCGCATTTGTCTGTGACTACTGAGCAGTGAGACAGGCATCGGGGAAAACATGGCGTTATTATTTTGCTACCTTTATACTGCTGTTCTACTTTTTTTATTATGATGATGTTTTCTCGTAATAATGCGGTGACGTGTGACAACTAAATTATATATTGTTTCGTCCGAAAGAACAACATAGCGAACGGATCACTACAAAGGTGCCGTAACTATCCTGAACGGTTACCTTCTCAGTTTCTCTCTCCTAATAATCGCAAGACACAATCTGGACCTGTTTTTGGATCTCACAGCCAATTATTCTAATATGTGGATTATGTATAGGATTAATTAAATACTATATATAATCGTGATTATGGATTATAATAATTGAGTGTTTATTGGTTCCCTTGATTATTGTGGCTGATTATGGTTGCTTAAAGTGAGAAAAATCCTATCTTATTTATATCAAGCGGGCACTGAATTACATGAGCTGCGTTAGAGCAGGTACAAGCCAAGTTTGAAGGAGGTTGAGAATCTATGAGTGCTTGCCTAGCTAAGACATCAGCCGTATGATTCTGGGATCTTTGGATCCTGAGAATACTTGCGTCTCTTTGGCTTGTGAAGTTTGTGAAAGTCTGAGTGAAGTGTTTGATCCTCCAGTCCGGTGGATTTGCTTGATCCAAGCCATTTAGGAACGGCACTAGCAGCTGATTGTCTGAGAGGAAGATGATTCGGTGCATACTGAGGCAGTCAGTGACAAATGCAGCAAGTGCCATTGCCGCAGCCTCAGCCATAAGCACTGATGTAGTTGCTGTCATCATCGCCTTGATGTAGATGGTTTGCACTGGATTAACCTGGGTATTGATGATGAACAGACCAATCCCTGCATTTCTAGGTGGAGTAGAGGGGAGGTCAGTAGAAGGTTGTTGGTGCATAGAGCGGGATCAGTGGAGAACCAAACCTCCCGGGGTAGATGACAGTGAAAGAATAGATGGGCGTCGTCCTCCACTGCACCACAAGCTGCACAATGTTTGTCAATGTGAATGCTATACCTTGATGCTCTTTCAGCAGTGGCAAGTGCTCTTCTGACGAGCCTCCATGTGAACGCTTTGATTAGGGGTGGTAATTCCTTACTTTTCCATGCTCTCTGCAAAATATTGTTAGCTTGGTGGTTAATACTTCTGGATCCCTGTTGTGGCAGCTGAACAAGCTGCTGTCTGCTTAGGTGCCTGTAAACACTTTTAGTAGTACATTGACCATCTTTGGCAGGTGTCCACCTCAGGATGTCATGTTGACCATTGGGTACAATCTGAACCTCAGTGATCGTCTGCACAGCCTGGTCATCAAAGATGTTAGCTATAAGATGTACATTCCAGGATTGGGAGTTGGGGTGCCAAAGATCAGAGACAGTATCAGGCAAAGGTCGTTGGGTAACCGGCAATAGCATATGGTCATGTATGGGGTTCCATAAAGGGCACCAAGGAGTGGACCAAATAGAACTGTTACCTGAATGGATTTGAAGGACAGAGTTGCTGCAAAGGTCCTTTTTTACCTGCAAGACAGATGACCAGAAGATTGACCGGGGTCCAGTGGTGTTGGTGTTCCAGAAGGTGGTGTTGTGGTAGTATTTGGCTTTGAGCACTGAGGTAAGGAGAGGGTTTTTATTAGTGGCTATGTTCCAAGCAGCATGGGTGAGAAGGCTTCTGTTGACAGTGTAGAGATCCCTAATTCCAAGACCCTCATTATCCATCGGCTGGCAGATGTCTTCCCATGATCTGAAGGCTATAGGTGAGTGTGGGGGTATTAACCCCTATACCCTTACGGCTAAGCTCGGGTTGGCTCGGATCGATAGGTTCATCCACGAAAGATGACGTATGCCCGATTAACTTTGATCGAGTCCCGCACAAGGAATCAAGACGGATTTGGCGACCAAGCAGGATCTGGTCGATTAGAATAGGAATCTTATCCGCCACATATGGCAATTGAAACCGACTAGGATTAGTTTCAGATCGTCCGTAACCCGCCCCGGACTATATAAAGGCGGGCGGGGACCCCTCTAAAATCATCTCTCATTGACATACAGCAATACAAATCAGACGCAGGACGTAGGTATTACGCCTTCTTGGCGGCCGAACCTGGATAAAACCTCGTGTCTGTCTTGCGTCACCGTCTTGTTTGGGACTTGCGCACCTGTCTGCCGATAATCTACTACCTTGGGCATACCCCTAGGTAGACTGCCGACCATATTTCGTCGACAGTGGCGCGCCAGGTAGGGGGAGTGCGTACTGCTCTCCAAGCGAACAAGATGGTCATCATCTCCGGCTCCATGGCTACGCCCAACGGCCTCACGTTCACCATCGGCCAGATCACTTGGACCACCGGCCCTGACGTCTCCATCACCATGACCGAGGCGTGTATTCAACCCGCGCCGACGACTACTTCACCTGCATCGGCTACGGTTCCGACCACGGTGAATACGGCTCCGACCACGGTGAACACGGCTCTGACCACGACGAACACGGCTTCGACCACGATGGATCTGGCTCCGACCACGGTACATCTGGCTCCGACCACGCCTACAGCCACGCCGACAACCCGTCATCCGCTTCCCTCTTCACGGAGGGAAGCAGAGATCGACGACACCGACCTGCTTTCGGCTCCATCGATCGGGTAACAGCTCCCCACAACAGATCTATCCGACCAGCTCGGGCGGTCGTCCCGCTGCGGCTTGGAACAGATCTTGTGGTCGTATCTACTCCTCGAGGCGCTCCGCTCGTCGCCGGCCACCAGCCGCGGCGGGCCTCCGACTCTGCGAAATACGAAGTCCCGACGGAGAACCACGAGTCAGCCCCACGGCTGCGAACGCGCCGCCTTCACGCTGCGTGCAACCTACGACGCCATTTAGATCTATGTCCTACACACGATCTCGTCCGAAGCCATGCAACATCGTTAACATGGTCCGGATTGAAGATTATCAAGAAGGATCTGTCCACACGGTCCGAGAGGGTGACTCGGCTCCTCATCCGCATCGCATCCAACGCATCCGTCCACACCGAAGTTTCACGTCCACGAAGATGAAGGCGTCAAATACGATCCGGATCTACCGGACCACGCCCGGTTTCCCCAATTTCCATCTTTCCCGCCAAGACGAGGGATTTGATCCATGTCACAAGAACGCGACGAGCCGCCAGTAGTTGGCGAAAGCAGAACAAGAAAAGATCGCACGCTGGCACGCAACATTGACCGGTTTAATCGCGGCAAATCGAAGCTGAAGCGGAACCAGAGGCACGGCGCATAAGGATCCAACCGCGCGACCTCAACAATGCTTTCGACAGGGTGGGGGACAAACAAGTCTTCAAGACCCCAAGCGCCAACGTAGCCGTTGCCATGGCGACAATGCAGCGGCTGCCCAACACTCCAGAAACCCAAGCAGTCCGCGATGAAATACAAGCATATCTGACGGCTGCTATGGCTCAGACCGCAGAGATGAATCAAGCCCGGGCCCCATCCGTTTCGGTGGAATCAAGCCACAGCCGCCAATACTCAAGTCGCTCACAGCCGCTCAACCGACGTGGCTCGCGCAACAACGACCCGTCGGACAATCGTCAAGGCGGAAACGGTGGTCATGATGGTGGTCGGACGAAAAACCGTCGCCGAGAGGATAACCGCCACGACGCTCGAGGTGACAACCGCCGGGATAACCGCGACAATCGCCGTGATAACCACGGTCGCAGAGCTAGTCCAGATGGCAATCGAGATCGCCGCGACGGCAATAACGATCTTCGCCATTACCTCGGCGGACGTGATCTGCGTGCTCGCATCAACCAGAGAGCCAACGATCGTGCATCCCATGAAAGCTATCGCCGTATGGAGTATGACACCGCCCACGGCCCTCCGGGTCTGAAGCAGTTCACTCCACACCTTCGCCAAGTCATATGGCCCAAGAATTTCAAGCTCGAGAAACTTCAGAAGTACGATGGCAAGGAAAACCCCGAATTATGGGTCATGCTCTCTCTCTGCGTGCCGATCAGCCATGGGTCGACGAGCACGTTATGTCTAACTACTTCCCGATCGCCGTTGGTCATGCAGGTCACCAATGGCTAGTCACTTTGCCGGCAAACTGTTTTGACTCTTGGCGGGGAGCTCAAGCGAGGCCTTCATCGACAATTTCATCGCTACTTGTGAACAACCCGGCAACAAGTACGATCGCAACGGATCCGAGATCGGAAAGAGCGAACCCGCTGCGCGAATACGTTCGGCGTTTTCGGAGATGCGCATCAAGGTCCCATCAATCTCCGACAACGAAGCAATCGAGGCTTTCGTCACCGGCCTCCGTTCCACGACGCCCTAAGAGACAAAGCTCCTCCGGAAAAGACACGAGTCGATCCACGGCGCTCTTGGCCACCGCTAAGAAATACGCGGACGCCGCGGCGCTAAAAAAGATAATCGTCGAAGAAGAAAGCAGGATCCCACGCTCCGACCACCCTCCACGCCGCGCGACGATTACGCGGCAACCGTAGTCGGAACGACAATTTTGACCGCCGCAACCAGTACAAGAACGACTCCGGCGACCACCGTGATCAACGTAATCAGCGGCGCAACCGTCGTGGCGATTACGAGAGCAAGCGTGCTCGGGAAGACGACGGCGAGGTCAATACGGTGAAAAAAGGCGGCGGACGTCGTAATTCACGAGGACGACGACCACGCCAAAGCATTGAAGGGCCCCGCCAACTCCATCCCAAGTCGAACCATACCATGGAGAATTGTCGCGTCCTCAAGACTATCTACACGCGCCAACGAGCTCGGATATTTCCGACAAGCCCTAATGGCGTAAGGGAACAGCAATAGCGAGGACAACGGCGGCGATGATGC